GTAATTTTATTTAGATAACATTAAAAAAAATAATTTAACAGGTGTTTTAAGGTTCAACAGGAAGGGATGAAAATCTTCCATGGAGCCAAAAGAGATGGTACAGGTTGAGAACGAAGTAGTGTTTGTTCTTTATTTGTGACTCCTACTATAACTGAAGTCTTTTTACTCTGAGGCAGGGGCTTTTTCTATTCAGTATATTTTAACCATAATTTTGTTTCATTTGTGCCATCTAATATATGAATTAGTTGATATAAATTAGCTAATCTGGGCTGATAAGCATTAATAAAGACCCTGAATTCTTTAGTAAATCTATGAGAATCCTCATGTAAATTTGGGAAATCTTTGGCAATGCTATGTAGTTCTGTACGAGTCCAAGGAATGAAAGTAATAACAGGACTCTCTGGATTTTCTCTAGTGTCCACTCCAGGTTCTGTAGCGTGAGGTTTAAAAGGCATTTCAATGACAGGTTCTAAACTTTTTGACCTTGATCTGGCTAGCTTACGGACACTTTGATACCATATTCTCAGAATTAGAAATTTCATGAATAAGATCCTCTGTCTTGGAATCTTTGGTAGATTCTTTTGAAAAGAAAGGAAGTTCAGGCAGAGAATTCTCAGGACAAGGAGGCAGAGGAGGATATAGAGAAGAGGTTGGGGGGGGCGGTGAGAGGAGCTGCAGCAAGGGTGTAAATACATCAGAGCTCTGGCTTTACAATTCTTTATTTTTCTTAGTTAATTCAGAAACCAAACTCTGCAATTCTTTATCCTGTTCAGTCAATTTAGATACAGAATTCTGTAAAAAAGATTCTATACTCTGTTGATGGCATTTTCTGGCTTTAAATTGCCACTTCGAAAAGAATGTCCTATTGCAGTCTTTTTTATCTGGGCCCTCCTCTGTTCTAATTCACCACCCAGATGATTCAGTCTAGCAAGTTCAAAAGTTCTATAATTTTGAACTATAATTATAATTTTCTATAATTTATCCAAACTGCCTTTAGTAAAGTCATGCCAACTAAATCAAAATAAGCAAGAGAATGCTTATTTATGTAATGAGCAGGAGTTTTCGGAGGAAACTCCATCTTGCTCTTCGCATTCCCCGTATTTCCAGAGGCAATGTAAATTAGCTTCCGAAGCATTTCATACAAAAAGTCAGAGCTCTCAGCTTCTCAGAACCTGCTAATTTCTTTAACAAAAGAGTGCCACAAAGTTTGGAAATGCGGCTTCTCATGGTTGGTTCCGAGGTCCTTAATCAATGACCCTGAGGTACCTGAAACAAAAGGAATTTATGTTCCCTTCAAAAAACAGAGAGAAGAGAAAACAAATCCTTCAAGAAAAGTTGGGGAGCATCTAGGCAAAGTGAGCAGGGCTCGGACCCAGACCCAAGAGGTGTTTCCCTGCCGCAACTCCCAACTCGCAGGAACCCACGAAAAGTAGATAGGCCCAAGGGGCCTTGCTAGTGCCAAAAGCTCTGATGTTTTCACTGCTTTGGAGGCTGCAGAGGTAAAATCCTGTGGGTCCCTTTGTGGTCGCCAAGTAATGTCCTCATGAAGTCACTGGACCAACACTCCAATTTGATATTTAAACAAATTAAATTTATTGAAGGAATGAACCGAAGGAGAGCATGCATTCAGTTTGGTTGTAATGGTATGCTCTGCCTTACAGGCAAAACAAAGAAAATTTAACAAGTAGAGTGAGTACAGATAACAACTTCACATCAAAGCAATGGCAGGGTAGGAGGTAAGATTTACAAGGGTGGCAATTAACTGTGAAACTTTCTTTACATTAGTTTCTAGTCTAACCCCAATCTCTCATACCTGACACATTTTAACTAAGGCAGTATTTCTTAAATGAAAAGTATGAACAACTTCAACTTGAAAGTTTAGTGGTATGGAACTTAGTGATATAATTGCAGTTGGACTAACTTAATTGGAATCTTTGGATACAGAACTGACCATTAGTTAGGAAAGTGTAAATAAACTGATTATTTAGCTGAAAGAAGAGAGATAATGCCTAGGTGCTTGCTGGGGAACTTTTTAAGGTGCTAAAATGACGTGTTTATTTATAGACTCTAATTTATTTTAACAATTCAATGAAGCTTTTTCTAAGGCCAGTTGTAGGAACACTCTTAATATAACAAACACAGCTGAGCTTTATTTTTCAAATGGCAACTTTAACAGAAGATGGAATCCTGGTGGCGCAGTGGTTAAGAGCTCAGCTGCTAGCCAAAAGCTTGGCAGTTCGAATCCGCCAACAGCTCCTTGGAAACCCTATGGGGCAGTTCTACTCTGTCCTATAGGGTCACTATGAGTTGGAATTGACTCGACGGCAACATTTTTTTTTTTTTTTAATGGTTATCAGCAGTGTAGCAGTAAAATCCTCAGGTTAATTTCTGAACGGAGTGCTTAATTTTAGTTGTGAAATCTCCCCAGTTAGGCCTACTGGCATCTCAAAATTGAAAAGTTCCTAACACGTATGAAAATGTCTTCGTTTTCACCAGATACACAATTATGGGTTGATAGGGTATTTTTCTTTCACCACTTTATATATTTTGTTCAACTCTCTTTTGGCTTACATTGTTTCTGGTGATAAGGCAGCCATTAACTGATCTTTGTTCCCCTGTGTGTAATATGCTGTATTTCTATTACCGATTTGAAGATTTTCTCTTTAATCCATTGGACTGTGATGCACCCTGTGTGGGCCTATTTGTGTTTATTCTGTTCTTGCATCTGCAAATATTTGTCAATCCTCACATTTAAAAAATTTGCTTACCATTATATCTGTCTTAGGCTGGGTTTTCTAGAGAAGCAAAACCAGTAAAGCATATA